TTAAAGCTATTCTTTATTATGTAAATTGATAATTTAATCAATTTATTTTTGGAAAACAGTCTCTATAGTAGTGATCCTTTGGAGCGATTAGGGCTTCCTCTGTAGCCTAATATATGGTTTATTTTTATATATATTCTGTGAAAGCTTAAAAAGAATCTGAACTATCTGACAAGTTGGAGAGTTATTTACATACATAACAGCTTGATCTGGCTTATATTATTTAGAAATTTGACGACTATTCCTGTTTTTGCCTGCTTCAACTATTAATTTCTCAGAAATGTGTCTGTGTAAAACCATCCTTTACATTTGTTGACTTATTAATCCAACAAGGTGGGTACTGCCATTCCTGTTTTATAGCTGAGAACACAGAGGTTTAGTAATAGTAAAAACCTTATTCAAAATTACATGCCCTCTTCGGCAATGCCATCCATTTTCTTCTATTTACTTTAGCATAACCCATTTATTCATCTGCATGTAATAATTTTTATAGTTAAGTGTAAATGAATTAATATTTGTAAAGCACTTAGAACGGTAATTGGCACATAGTAGTATAAAGTGTTTGGTTAGTATAATATAGGGTAGAGGTGGTAATTGAAGCCATGGGCATGGTTGAAATCACTTGAGAAAACATGAAAGTTTATGAAAATATGAGAATGAGTGACTAAGATTTAGGGAACTTTCTTATTTAATGGCTGAGAAAGGAGGGACAAACCCTTCAAAAGAGACTGAGGAGTAGACAAAAAGGTAGGAGAAAGCAAGAAAGAATATTGCCAGTGGCATCAAGAGTGAAGGAATAATTAATAATGCTGCTGAATAAAGATTTGAATGAATTGCATTCAATTGCAGCAGCTGAATCAGTGATATAATGTGTACAGTGGATGCTGTGATGCATCTCCCTGTCTTCTCTTGAGAAATGAAGGTTTTATTCTGCTAGTTGCTGGAGGGCTGCCAGCAGATATGTTTCAGTTGTCAGCCACCTTGAGTAAATTGCTTGGGCTAGAGATCCTCCTTGCCTAAGGTTCTATGCCCATCTTTGGCAAAGCCTGCATCCCCACTGGGGAAAACTTTGAAAGTTTGTCTCAGTTTTAGAATTGCAGGCTAAGCTAAAACATTTGTTGAGATTGGTTATGACAACCTAACTTCTCTCTTTGCCAAACTTTGCTTCCTCTCCTTCTCTTCCACAGATATTGATCCCTAATAAACTTCCTGAATACCAAAGTTCATTGCAAAAGTCTGCTTTTCTTTGACAAGATACAGCATCCATTTATGATCAAAACAAACACTTAACAAAATCAGTATAGAAGGAAAGTATGTTAACATAATAAAGGCCATCTATGACAAACCCTCAGTCAACGTTATACTTAATGGTAAAAAACTAAAAACCTTCTCTCTAAGATCAGGAACAAGGCAAGGCTGTCCACTATCACTTTGTTATTCAATATAACATTGGAGGTCCTAGCGAGTGCAATCAGACAAGAGAAAGATATAAAAGGCATCCAAATAGGAAACGAAAAAGTCAAACTTTCA